GTCTGCAGCAGCCTGGGCTAACGTTAGCCCGTCTGAAGCAGCCTGTCTGCAGCAGCCTGGGCTAACGTTAGCCCATCTGCTGCAGCATTGGCTAACGTTAGCCCGTCTGCAGCAGCATGGGCTAACGTTAGCCCGTCTGCAGCAGCATGGGCTAACATTAGTCTGTCTGAAGCAGCCCGTCTGCAGCAGCCTGGGCTAAGGTTAGCCCTGTCTGCTGCAGACGGGCTAACGTTGGCCCGTTTGCAGCAGCCTAGGCTAACTTTAGCCTTTCTGCAGCAGCCTAGGCTGACGTTAGCCCGTCTGCTGCAGAATCTGCTCAGATCTGCTCACCCTGCCTAGTCGAAGCCTCTCTCCACACAGTCAGTGTGACGTGGAAAAAAAATCGGATGGGAGATGAAAAAGTCGTACGCAGCCGGTGTGTTCAGGCCTCTAGCTGCAGTAGGCTACTTCATTGCTTACTAATAATTTTAAAATCAAGCAAATCGATCTGGAATTTGTTCTGATTGGTGCATCTCTAGGTTATAAACGCAGTAGCGCAGGTTTGGCTTAGTGTGGTGGTCGTCATTACAGGGTTAAATTCTGCAGTTAATGTAAACAAACCGAACTTCGCTGATGCGGAGTTTTAAAAAAAATAGCCGGTAATGCTTTCTTTCACAGTATATCAATAACATGTAATAACCTGGTAATAACATAACAACTTACACTATATTACTAGCTAACAAGAAAAACTATGGAGAATTTTTGTAAGTGCTTTGCTTCAAATTTTCGGCTGACAAGTTAAAGTCAGACTTCTTAGATTTCAAACCGTTATTACTGCAGACAGCAATACATTAATGAGTTATTATCTGGTAAAAAGCAGTTTATTACAGTTTATTATTATGACATATAACAGATTACCAAACCCAGAAGACAGCAGCTAATAATCTTAACTAAACTCTTATTTATATGCAACTTGAGTTCCGATTTATAAAGCTTTATTTACCTGATCATAGTTAAAATTTACTTTATAAGCCATTGGTAGGTGGTGGCCAATAATAGAAACATAATGGTAATTACATATTAACACACAATGATAATAATTAGATGCAGGTTATTAGTTTGAAATCATATACTTTAATCTTGGGGTATTTACCCCAAAAAAAGTTTTTTTTGTTACCAAACTGAAAGTGCGACTTTATTACGTGGTAATTGATTTACTGTAAAAGAAAGCATAATTCCTAATAAAAAACAAACAGGGCACTTTTGGACCATTTTTCCTTTGATTTAAAACCGTTTAGAGGAAACACTGTGGAATTTTTTAAACTGCAGAATAAAATAAAACAAAAAACTAATTGGCAGTTAAATAAAAATCAGATTGTCATTGGCTGTTCAGAGCTTTGATCAGCTGTAAAATACTTCTGTCTTCGTATAATTGGAATTAATTAATACCTGATTTCTATCAATACATAAAAATACATATTGGCAAACATTCGGAAACTGTGATCTAAGAATTTAGCCGCATATTTTACCACATGGTAAAACCTCCGCAGTGATTCTCAACCATGTGAAGATTATAATAAAAAAAAAAAAACAGGTTGGAAACTTTGTTTGTTGGTTTCCATTTAAGGCAAAGCAGAGAAGGAAATAACAGTCACTGCCCACTGAAGGCACAACTGTATGAAAACTGACAGGGTACAGCCATTAAAAAACAGCTTCGTAAAGAAGACGTGAACCCAAACAGCCAAAGATTTCCAAAGTAGTGGTAATGAAGTTCAGGCTGAAGAACGGCAGCTCAGTAGTTTTGGTAAATATCTCACTGATAGGACAGCCACATGTGGGTGATTATGAATGAATTGTTAAAACATGTAATGATATGATTCCCAGTTCGAGTCTCGCTCCTCCCAACATGAAGAAAACAGCGACATTAAGAAGCAAAAGGAAAAGAAAACATGGCGTCCACTACAATATAGTGCAGGGTTTTTTTTCCTTGAAAGGGTTTTCTGAAGCAGGGATGGCTCTGAGGAGCGGGTCCCCTCTGGCCTGTTCCATGCAGTAGTGCATCAGATCAGCAGAGGCTTTGGAGACCTGGAGAAAAAAAAAAACAGGAAGCAGAAATATTAAGTTAAGTTTTTTTANCGGTCTTGCTTTACGGCGAGAACTGCTACACGCCCCCAGTGAAAGGCATGCTCGTTGCTAGCGCAGTGGCGATATTTGTGCAGTTATCATGGCGGAACCAGCGAGAAAACAGCGAAATTTTCAAACTCGAAAATTGGAACAAAATAGTCACTTACCGCATTAGACATGGTGATTCGTTGCGTTCACCTGTCTGCTAAGCTCAAAACAACCGAGCCTAGCTTGACGGAGAGACCATATTTACGATAGTGCACTTTTACTTTCGCCCTCTGGGGGGAGCCTCGTTGGAAAATCAACACCGGTTGCATAGTATACCTTTAAGTAAAAGTATAGATACTGAAGTTTAAAATCACTCTGGTAAAAGCTAAAGTATCAACTTGACCTCTTTACTCAAGTAAAAGTGAAAAAGTATGTGCTCCAAAAACTACTATAGTATAAAAGTATCCGTCTCCCGATACTCTCTCGCCTGTGTCCGACCTTTCAGACATTTCAACATCTTTTTCTGAATCCAACATCGTAGCATGGCAAAGACAATTCACGTTAGCAGTTTGAAGAACACCTGCTTGCTTCTGATGATTTCCTTTAGCTAACCAATGAGTGTTTGCCTTCTATGACTCATCCAATCACACTAGTTTTCACTAGATGTGGGCGGAGCCAATGATCTGCATTGGATGGAGCACATGACGGGAAATAAAGATTTAGAAACATTAAACCGAAGCCAAGAGTAACGAGTAACGTTGTTTTAAAAATGTAAGGAATAGAAAGTACAGATACTTGTGTGAAAATGTAATGAAGTCAGAAGTAGGAAGAAAAATAAGTAATGGAGTAAAGTATAGATACCTAAAAAGTGTAATTAAGTAAAGTAACTAAGTATTTGTACTTTGTTACTTGACACCTCTGCTTCTTGCCGATTTGCTTATTGTCGCAGTGAACGCAGAGATGTCTCCGCCCCATTCCGCGGACACTCTGCTGCACCTCGCCAAAATTGTAGGTTGTCGCAGACAGGAGGCCTCTGATTGGTCAAATCTCCATCCGTTTTACACTATGGGTATTTCCTGTTTGGTTCCTTACCATAATTTTGTTTGTCTGACCGCCATTGTGAGAATGCTGGGACCCTTTTTCCACCTGGATCTCCGCTCTTTTTGGCCCTCATGTCCCTCCGTTGTCGCACAAACTTGCCCCCATTTCCTCACCGCCTCGGCCGCATCTAGACCCACATCTAGTTCATTATTGGCCCTCTGGCTTTATGGGGTGGAATAACAGCGCAGGCCACGCTTCAATAGTGAGCATAAATTACAAAAATCTGCGACAACCTCACTGCAACAAACTGTTGCGGGACAATAACCAGACCTTAACTCGGCTCTGAAGTTTCATATCCATGTGTTTTTTTGCACCATGTTTTTCTCCCAAACTGTTTACATTTCATCACTGCTGCACTTTAGGAAATGGAAATGTCATGAAAGCTGTAAAAAAAAACGATTTCTAAACATTCTGTGTAAACAAAATGACAATAAAAGTAGTCTAAGTCTAACTCAGTCAATAACCTCGAGTCAGTCCAAGATAGTGAGACTAATGTTACGCTACATACTATACTATAGGATACATCGGCGTATATGTGGATTTTTTTTGTTAGCACATCCACTGACTGTGAAGTTATCTGTGATTAGTCTTCCTACAGCGGCAAACTGCTTGTTTTTGCAGCCAAATGCTGCACAGGGAGGCATTTTTAACCTGGTCAGAGTCATTCCAAAAAAAGAAAATTAAAAATAATCCACTGGACTTTGTCTCCAAGTTTGAAGACATTTCTCTTCCCATCCAAGAAGCTTTTTTAATTCAAAATGTCAGAAATAGCGTTAGGTTGCAGGTTTTTTACAGTAGCCCGACAAAGTCTGGTTTTAGTTTAGAAAACATGCAAATAGAAACGGACAAACGGGTCTGTTTAAGGTTGGTTTTTCTTTCTTAACATAGATGGCTTCCTTCACGCCCCTCTCAAACCACCTTTCTTCTTTGTCCAAAATGTGAACATTCTGGTCCAAATAATGTTCTTTGTCCATCAGGTGTAGATGTACCCCAGCGTCTTGTCCAGAGGAGGGCGCTCTTCTGTGTTGGGTCATGCGTCTGTCGAGACGTTGCTTGGTTTCTCCAATATAAAGATCAGAGCATTCCTCACTGCATTGAACTGCAGACACCACTCTGCTCAGATTAGATCTGGGGGTTTTGTCCTTAGGATGCACTAGTCTCTGTTTAAAGGTCTTGTTTGGTTGAAATGTACTGGGATTTTGTGGCATTGGGGAGTACCAATATGGCGGCTGGAGGGTTCACTTTTTATGGTTGTTTTGCTGCAAAATCATTACAACTGTGCACCTTCCGTTGTAAGGGACCATTTCTAACAATGAGAAGCAGGAGTTTTAAAGCTGTGCCGTCTTCATTTACCGCAGACTTTTTTCTAGTTAGGTTTTAGCCAGACTCTTTCACAGTTGGAACCAAGGTGCTGCTGTGTGGTTACCTTTATCCTCTCCCTTCTTGCCTCTAGTCTCAGCTGCTGCACTATCTGCCGGGCCTGGGGTAGGTTACTCTGGGCCTTGGAGGACATCTTGGTCCGTGCAACACTG